AACATTTTCACCACAATCACAGCGGGGGCACCGGCCACTCAGTTCCAGGCAGGGTTTCCCACACAGAGAAGTCACAGTTCTGGTTTCTCAGCTCCAGTCTGCGGGGATCTCAGCCTCCAGAGCTCATGCAGGTCTGTTCTGCAGGCAGATGCGAGGCCTGGGTGCAGGCCAGCTGGCAGGGCTCGGGGCCAGTGGGTTGCTGGCTTTGGGCGCCCTCCCCGGGCAGAAGGGTCTTACTGGGCTTGGGGTCCCAGACAAGGTCAAGGGAGCAGACTCAGCAGCAGGCCTCACTAGCCTATCACCAGAACCTTCCTCCACCTGCCCGCCATATTTAACACCCCAAAATGCAACTGGAACCTTTAAGGGTCCTTTGTGACGTGGCCACAGGGGAAGAAGGACTAGACATCTGGGCCCAGGTCACCCCCTCTGGGAAGCAGAGGGGATGCAGGTGCCAGTTTGGGACAGATGGAGCCCTGAAGGCTGTCATCTGCTAGGGGGTGACCCACACAGAGCCCCTCCAGCACCCTTGGTCATCGGGCATAGTCCCCCAGACGGAGTGTCCACAGGGCACCCCTCCCTGTGCTTTTGGCTCAGTCTGTTGGTTCATTCAGCAAGTTCAGGGGTGCATGGAGCCCCTGCTCTGGCCTCGGCTCTGCTGGAATAAGAACCACAAGGTTTGCAGACCACCCACAGGGAGTGTGGGGCCCGTCCGTCCCGATCTCGAAGTGGTCCTCAACCTCGGCTCCAGTCAGTGGGGTGTCCTGACCACTGACCTTCCAGAGCAGCCACCTCTGAGGGGCAAGCCAGGAGTACCGGGGGTCTTCACCTGATGGTGCTGCGGGATGGCTGGGGTGGTGGGGCTGGCATTGGACCAGGCCTCCCAGGGGGCCTGGCATGGGGCCTGATCTGGAAAGTCAGGACCAAAGCCCCAAACGGTTGTTCTGAGGGCTGCTGCCTGCTGATCTTGATGCTGACACCAAGCCAGGGAGGGGATTAAGCAGCTGGGGCCGGGACCCCCAGGGCTGGGGTGAGGTGGGGAGGGGTGAGGTGGCCCTGCCCCCAGGCGGCTCGGCCCCCTGAGGGCCTCTGGGACAGCTCTGGCTGCGAGGTCTGGCCTCCTATGCCAGGCCAGCTCTACCCTCACCACAGCCTTTGTCACTGGGGTTCCTGCCCGTGGCAGCCAAGGTTGCTCGTCCCCTCCCCATATTGGCCACGGGCACAGGGATGAGGGAGGAGAGACGCCAAAGCCTGTCGGGGCCAGAAGTGTCACAGAAGGAAGCTTGGCCCGGGACTGTGGGGAGTGGGGGGGGGGAGGAGCTGCCAAACTGCCCAGGCCCGCCTTTAAGGAGCAGCACTAGGCGGGGGAGGGGAGCTCCTGCCACCCCAGGATCCCTCCCCCAGAAAGCCCTGCAGGCCCCCAACTCCAGCCAGGACCCGAGAACACCCTGCAGTTTTGTCAAACGCCCTCTGCCAGTGACACAACCACAGCAGTGACAAATGCAACCACGAGCAGCAAACGCCAAGGGAGGGAGAGCCGGGCCGTTCTCCCAGATCTGTCTGTAAGCCCTTGAGAGCTGGGCTGCAGCCCCTGGGGCCTGACCCTCCACAGTCAGGAGCCCCACCCAGGAGGAGGAAGGAAAAGATCCCAGTCCTTCTTCCTGCCAACGTCCCTTTAGAATTAATTTGAGGTAATCGGATTAGGATTTGTGGGGTTTTGAGAGTTTCTATCTGACACACGCTGAACTACACGCTTCAATCATCTCGGCTTAGCCACACTCTGTGTCCGTGGCCTTTGCTTGCTCTGTGCCTCAGTTTACCCTGAACGAAGAGGCCACATTGCAGGTTGGAGGAGGACTGTTCCTGGGCCTGGGGCCTCAGCAGGAACTGTGGAAACTTACCCACATGGACCTTTTCCTGGAATCTCCCTCCCTCCCCCCCCCTTGTCTCAGGAAGGAGTTGGGACTGGAGAGAATTTAGTTACAAAGGCCTGTCAACTGCAGCCTGGTCAATTAAAAAGCAGGTCCTGGGACTTAGGTCAAGGTTCGGGCCTCCTGCTGCCCAGAGCCAGGGCCTCAAGCAGGCCACTCAACTGGTCTTGTCCCCTGGGGACCAGGCCATGCCCCAGGGAGGCAGCTGAGCGTTCGGGGAAAATGGAGCCGCTGGGGCCACGTCCACGTGGGGTGTCCCCACCAATCTGGGGCTCTCGGCACAGAGGCAGCAGGGCCGGGCCAGGCCGCGGACCCCAGGCCAGGCGCTAGGAGCCCTCCCGGAAGCTGTGGATCTGCGTGGAGTACCTCTGCAGGTGGCCTTCGGGCTGGGGCTCGGTGGCGCCCAGTGCACCCCCAGCCGCCGCCTGCTGCTGATAATGCTGGTAGAGCTTGGGGCCCGGGCCGTCCAGGCCCGGGAGGCGGCCGCTGGACATGGTCAGGATGGTGGAGGTCAGCGACTTGATGTAGTTCTTGGCCAGAGTGAGCGTCTCGATCTTGGAGAGCTTCTTGTCGGCTCGAACGTGCGGGATGACCTCTCGCAGCGCCTGGAAGGCGTTGTTCAGCTTGTGCATACGCTGCCGCTCTCGCTCATTGCTCTCCAGCCGCCGCTGGACGCTGTTCTCCCGCCGGCCACCAGGCCCCGAGGCCCCCGGCCGCCTGCGCCCACCCTCGGCCCGCGCCCCCTGTGCCCGCACCGTCCTGCTCCGCAGACCCTTGGCCAGCTCCAGCCCCGAACCCTGCTGGGGCCCGTCAGGGGTCCGTTCCCCTGCGGCGGCCTCTGGGTCCTGCGCTGGCACCCGGCGCCTGGGGGGCCGGTTCTTGGTCTTCATGGCTCCAGGCTGCTTGTCCCAGGGGGTGGCGGTTCTAAGGCAGGCCCTTGGAGCTGAAATCCAGAACACAGGCCACCCTGTGGTCACACGGCAGGCTGGTGGGCGCTTAGGACGCCCAGTGGACACTCAGGGCAGCCGTCCTGGGCGGCCCCCTCACTGCCCAATGGCAGCTGACCACTTGGGGCACCGTGACCCCAGGGTTCTTCCCATTCACCCATGGAGCCCTGAGCCAACCCCTCCCCCATTCCCGTTTGACCTCATGGCGACCCCTCAGACTTTATCTGGTGTCCCGCCCCCGCCCCCCCAACTCCACATGCACTGATTCCCTGGACCTTTCTCTGGCCCCCGGAGCCTCACTGCCCCCTGAATGCCTCCAGAGTTTGGGTGGCCTTTAACACTTTTCTCAGAGCAGGTGGATCAGGAGATGTGGCAGGACTCTAGCTGGTCATCTGCCTGTGGCTGTTGCGTCTGCCCTCATGGACAGGCACCCACTCCAGCCACCACACTGACCACCGGATGTCACACATGCAGGGAAGACACTGGGGCCAGAACCGCTGTGGACATGAGGCAGCTGTCTGCGGTCAGAGGTCGACAGTGGTCAGAGCCTGCCACAGCCCCCAGTCCCACGGCGTGGATGCCCCCCCCCCCAACCCAGGATTCCCGTCCCCACCCCCACCCGGTCCCGCCCCGGGTCCTCTCCCCTCAGTCCCGCCGGGATCCCCCACCCCTAGTTACCTGGAGATCCGCGGCTGCACGCGCTAGGGCTGCCCACGGGGGACAAGGACACGTCGCTTTAGCCGCCCCGGGCGGGGCCGCGGCCGCATGTAAATGAGCCCGCGGGGCGGGGCCGGGGCGGGGCCGGGGCCGGGGCGCGCGGGTCTCTGCCGGCGGCAGGGGGCGTCGGCGCACCTGCGGGCTGGGGGGCGGGGGGGGGGGGGGGGACGGGGGCCGGACACCGCCCCCACTCCCCCCGCCGCTGCAGCCTCCCGTCAGCAGCTGGGAGCCCGGGCCCAGAGCCCATTCGGCGGAGGGGGAGACTGAGGCCTCTGCGAGCACGCCGGCGCTGAGGGGAATTTTCGGGACGGCGCCTGGCCGCCGCACCTGGCCTTGGGGCGAAGGCTCAGAACAGAAGCCAAAGCCAGAAGAACTGGCAGAAAAGCCGTTATGCAACAATACTGATTTCTCAGACAGGTAGTGGCCGGTGTTTCAGCGGCCCCTGCAGCACCCGGGGGCTTCGTGAGCTCCCCCAGGGGCTTCGTGAGCTCCCCCACCACTCCGCAGGGCTCAGGCCCGCACGGCGCAGGTTCCGGGGCCGGGGGGGTGGGGGGGGGGGGCGGAGCCCTGCCCCGCGGAGGACCTGTTCCGGCCCCACAGCTGCTTGCAGGTCACGGGGAAATACCCTGGTTGGTCGGTCATCGGTTTTACGAGGTCTCCAGGGGGCGAGAGGTGGTCAGCTTGGGCTTAAACCCGGCTTCCACCCACCTGCTCTACTAAAACGCCTGCCTGCCTGCCTCAGTTTCCTCCCCTTTTACAGAAGCACTAAAAGGTGTTAAAATCAGCCTCTGGCTTCAGGGGTTCTTCTGGGCTGATGAGGCGCACCTGGAGTGCAGGGAGACGGCGTCTGGGCCTGGGTTCCGACCCCTTGTGACCAGCAGGTTCGGGGGTTAGGGGTCGGTGGGCGCCCATCTCGCACCTGTCGGAGGTGCCCAGAGGGATGCTCGTAGGTCTCCATCTACTCCCTGGGGGTCTCAAGGGAGTTGGTGTGACTGGGGTTGGGGCCAGGCCTGCTTGGTAGGAGGCTGTCCCTCGGCTCTGGGCAGCTGGCGAGGGGGGCGGAGCGAGGACGGGGTGATGGAGGAGGCCGAGGTCCACCACGGGACATAGAAAGGCTGGCGTTGAACTGATTAGCCTCTTGACTTTTACAGCTCATTAAAAGGCTTCTGAAATTCATCAAGAAGGACAAAGGCTTGGAATTACAGATACACCTTGAGGCAGCACAGTCACTGCATCAAAGTTGTTTTCCAGTGAGCACACGAATCTTCATGTTCTCACGCAAAAGGGCACACTATCTCTAGAGACCGGGGCACTGTGTGTCCCAGGGCCTGCGGCAGGGCGGGCGGTGCCTGGTCACACACCCTGGGCCTTGCAGAGCGGATAAAAACACGAAACAAACGCAGCAACAGAGTTTATAAATATATAACTATATTTATTTTGAATATTAAATAGTTTTTAAATTACAAGCAATTTATTGAATCACACTATGCATCAATATACAGTAAAAATCTTACAATTTAAAAATGTACACAATTTAAACTTAAAGTTCATTAGCGGTTATATTGCCGTGAACCTCTTACAACTGTGTTAAAGCCCGACAGGGAAGCCACGTGGGTGGACTGCCCCAAGGGGGTCCTCATCTGCGGCCGGAATTCAACAGTGGATACACACACCGGCCCCTCAGGAAGGTCTGCGTGCGCCTGCGTGAGCCTGAGCAACTCCATGTTTTCAAGCCGTTCCGGTAACAGGTTGTTGGTAATTCAATACTGTCCACACGTTTCAGAACTTAGGTACTGGAGAGAAGTTTCTTTGTTGACAGCCAACACTTGAGCCAACCCCGTTACTATTAGGAATGTTGTGCAGGAGACTGAAATGTGAAGTAACTGCGTTGCCCAATCTTATTTTAAGGCTCCTTCTCATAAGGCTACTATTCTGAAGCCCCCGTCACTGGAGCCCAACATTCGGAGCCCGACACTTGGGTTCACTCCCGGAGTTTTCAGATGATGGAGGGCTGGGTAGGGCAAAGCCGGGGGCTGCCTTCCTCGGGCCTCGGGCCCTCTGGACGGACATGCAGTTAAGTCACTAGCCCTCCAAGTACCCTACAGAAAAACTAATACAAGGGAGAGGTTCTGAAAGGTGTTTTTACGGCAGCAAGACATACAAAGACTTTTCTAAGATAAAACCCATTTCTATAGAAACAATCACCTGTACATTTAAAAATAGAACGGATGCTGTTTTCAATTCAGCTTCGTGGAGCTCCTTCACGGTGAAGAGAAATGGCTTCTTACCCACACACACAGTCCAAGTTCCAGAAGGATTTGGGGAGCGCTTTTTTTTTTTTACATTTCTTTTTGTGGCTTATGATGGGATCATTGGATTAACACAAATGAACATTTAGCTAGGAAGGAAATGAAGGTGAGATTCTTTTTATTCTGGGATTTGAAAAATGTAAACTCCACCAGAGTAACACTAACCAAAACCTGATAGACTCCAAAAGAGGCCAGGAAATGCCATTGTGGACCAGGCATTATAAACCTCAAACATATTATCTAGAGGATTCCACTGATTTATTTCATTGCATAACTTCTCAGGACCAGTTTGGTCTGAAAACCCACTACTGGTAACCAACAGAGTTAAAAACACAAAAAAACAAAAACAGAAACAAAAACGGGAATTGAACAACAAAGCACATGCTGATGCTTCAAAGATGGGCTGAAATTTTTAATCTACATCATTAGTTTCCTGTGTATTGCTTGAGATTTCAAAAGAACATGTTAACTCACATGTGTATTATAAATATAAAATCTTCCCCGCCATGCACCAACCACCACAGTAAGATTTACTACTCAGACCCACCCCCCCAACTCAGTGTATAAAATGCTTTCTTTTGGCAATTAATCATGACAGCAATATAGACCTAAATTAAATTAAAACGGGAATTAGGTTGTTAAAATCTCCTTAATCATAGTGAAAAAGATACAGCCCCCAAATATCTATAAATTTATCCCGGGCTGATTGTATAAGAAGACTATATATTCTATGGATCTGCTTGATTTCGGTCATTAAATCTGAACTCCTTAGAGTTTGAAAAAACTTGTATAATCATCACCTCTCATTTCTCTCTCCACAAAGACTGGTAGTTAGATGTAAAAACTCAGGAATCTCAGGAAGTCTCCATAGCAAGAAATTCAGAGTTATGACAATTTGGCAAAATCACCTTCTAATGCCCTGTGATGGTTTCCCGTCTGCGTATCACAGGCCCAGCTCTCCTGGCCGCACTCCCTGCTCACACCGCCCGGAGGGTAAAGGGGGCTCTCTCTCCATTCTGAGTTCTTGCTCGGGAAAGTTATTGCTAGGTATGCAAAGTTAGTGGAGTGAGCCAGAATTGATAATCAAGGTCATAATTTACTTTGTAAACTCCCGCCAGTACCCACAACTGCATCTCACGCCGGGACCAGAGCTGCTGGGGCTTCTGTCACACAGCCCAGTGGACCTGTGTCACGCTGGAGTCAGGCAAGCGAATCAGCACCGGAAAACATTCGGGGTGACGGGCCAGCGTGTGGGGACCACAGCCCCGAAGTCAGACCCCCAATACACACGGTTTCGTGGCGAGCACGCCAAGCCTCCCTCAGCACGTGGCCCTCTAGCCCCTGGAAACTTCCTGGTGTCAAAGCGGGACTCACGGACCGCAGAGTGAGGCCAGCTTTTTATCCCGAACACCCGATTCCTGCCAACGCTGGGGGGCTGTGCTGGATACACTCGGTCCCTTCCCAGGCGAGGGCGAGAACGAGGTGCTTAACGTGGAAGGGAAGGGTCAGTGCAGAGGAGTCCCAGGGCCACGCCTGGGTGTGATGGCCATCCGGGGCCGCCCAGGGTCCCAACCGGGAGGACGGGCTGGCTGCGCGGGCTCCGCCACTGTCCCTCGTCCCTCCTCCCGGCTGCAGGATGTAGCGTTACCTCCTTGGTGACAGAGACCGGCCGAGCCTGGCCCTAAGCGGGGTGGTTCTTGAGGGGAAACCCAACTCTATGGGTTACTTCGAAGCTCACCACCTGACGTGTACAAATGCAATGAACTCAAACTGTCCTCGGCAACGAGAGCCCTGCAGGGACAGCTCTTGCTCAGAGCTCTGGACCGTCTACGAGGACACGGAAGCCACGGCAGCAGCCCGCGGTTCCACACAATAAGGAGAAGAACCGGCTTTGAGAAGAGGCGCAGGGGCCACAGCAGAGCGCACACGGGGGGCGGGCACTCGGCTCCCCAGGGAGGGGGGCAGGAGACCCAGCCCTTAACCCGCAGCTGAGCCCTGGGGTGAACCGCCTGTCGAGTGTTACCGAAAGGGTTTACAAAACTGGGGAGCCAGGGGTGGTGGGCGGTGGGAGAACCACGAGGAGGGCTGCAAACCCCTCACCTCCTCAGGGAAGCCTCACTTGCTACAAGGAACCTGCGTTATAGAAAGAGACAAACGTGTGTTTCATTCGGTCAACAAAACAAAGCAGTCTTTTTGGACTCATCAAAAATATTTCCTATAAGAACAAAAAAACACTAACATTCGGAATCATTTATCATTTACAAAAAAGTACCATATGTACAATTCCAACAATTCTAGACAGCAGAACACTCAAAATATTTAAGCTTTACAAGTACCATGCAGAGCAAACAAACTATAAAACAAAGAAAAAAATCAAACTAGTGGATAGCACCAGCTTGACCTGCCTTATTTTCCTTGAATAATTTAAGATTCTGTACAATATCAGGTACTCTTAGAACATTTATCCACAGTGCAATTACAGAAAGCAGTTAGTGATTTCTTTAAAAATAATAAATATGGCTCACTGGTGCCCGTTCCCATCGTGCTCCTCCGGGCCCCCGTGCACAGAAGGGGTGTGCAGGTGTGGACATGGAGAACACCCACCGCCCCCCCCCCTCCCGCCGGGAAACCGGAAACAGCCCAGAACCTACAGTTCCCACACACCGGACCAGGGTCGGTGCTCCCCAAGGATGACCGGGGCGCGAGCGCTTCTGGTGGGTGAGAGCGGCCGCAGGGCCCACCCCCCCCGGCCAGGCTTCCCGCCGTGGGCACGGGGCCAGCGCGGCTCCCTCTGGGCCTCCCCAGTCTCTCTCCTGGCTGGACGCCGTTGAGGGGAGGTCACTGCTGGGCTGCGGCGCAGGAATGCTGCCCGGCGGGGGGAGCAGCCTGGGACCCGAGAGCACCTCGGGATCCACCTAATCCTTTTCTCCATCTTCGCTGCTTCCTGTTTAGGAGAGAACGAGCAAAGGTGGGTTTATGCCGTGATCGTCCTGGATGCAAACAGTCCGGACGGCATCTGACCTGTCCTACAGAAACAGGAACTGAAGCCGGGAGCGCGGCCACCCACCACCTGTCCAGCCGCGTGTTTTCTTCCTGTGACAGCGGCACCTGCCAGACCCTCGCACACTCTCGCACACACACCTGCTCCGCTCACACGCAGCTCGGTGTCAACGCTCAGGGTGGGAGAAAATCGCTCTGATCTCTGACAGATCGCTAGGGAATGGGCGTGATCTAACTGGCACAATTAAACAGAGCCCAAACACGAACACAAGCTCTTCACGGTTCGTGGCTGTTATCCGAACTTCGAACTTCAAATCGAAAAAAATGCACCTGTTGACATTCATCTCCCAATCTAGTTATGGGGAAAAAAGGATCCGTATGTCCAGATAACACCACTGCAAATGGGCCCTGCCCATGACCTCCCACCCAGGCCCCTGCTATCGCACAAGACCGAGGCTTAATGGTAAAGTCAATACTCCCGGGGGAGAACCAGAGCACATCTGGGCTCAATCCCAAAATCCTGGGCCAAGTGTTCTGAACAGAGTAAGCTTTCTGAAGAATGGCTTCCCTCTGGGGAAGGAGGCGGGAAGGCGGGGTTGTGGCCAAAAGGGGAAAAGAGAAGAAAAGAAGGTGGCAGACACCCTGGGCAAGTTTGGGGACCTGCAGCCAGGCCGTCACCCTGGGCCACCCGGCCCAACCGGGGCAGCGAGGGGACACCTCCAGTGGCACTCAGCTTGTGGAGTGACAGAGGCCTGCGGGTGGGGGCTGTGGCCCCGAGAGCGCGCTCTAGAACTGTGAGAGCTTTCGGGGGGTTTTTTTTTTTTTTTTTTAATCTACTCTGCAAACACCAGGAAAGCCCCAAATCAGCAAGCATTCAAGTCCCGTGGGGAAGGTCTCGAGGGCCGACGCCCGCCCAGCCCTGCTGGACACACAGCCCTCCTCTCACCTCCTTGCTCCATGTCCGAGTCAGTAAGGTGAGTGAGAGAAAAGCTGGCGATGTTGGCAGGCGAGATGGAGAACCGGGAATATGGCGGCGTGTGAGGCCAGCTCTGCTCTGCGCTCCGGGGCGGCGGAGGCGGCGAGAAGTACTTGGACGTCTGAAGGGAAGGCTTGGAACTGAGAAGGTTACTTGTTGTCTTCGCCATAAAAGGGTCCGGGGAGAAGTCATCATCCCATTCAAAGCCTCCGCCTAAAAGGGAAAAAAATACACCCCAGTTTTCCTTCTCTGATTCTGTTAGAAAGAGCAGAGGGCCGAGGGCAGCCACACAAGTGTGCCTGTAGACCAAGCAACACCGACTCGGCCCGACAGGGGGCAGAGCTGCTCCCCGGGGTCCTGACAATGTCCTTTACAGCAGTACGTGACGTCACCCTCCACAAAAGCCTCCCTCACTCACAGCCCACTACCTTTTAGTTTCTTTTTAAACCCACGAACGAAGGGAAATACCTTCTTCATCGGTCGAGCTTTCGGAATTTATGCACCTGCTCAGGTAGGGAGAACCCGAAGGCGGTGCTGGGCCGCGGCCGCTCAACTCGGGGTCGTGGGCATCTCCTCCGCAGTGCCCCAGCTCTTTGGTCGGGGTCTCCTGAAAGCCAAAGAGAAATTCCCGTCAGCAGAGGCCGGCTCGCGGGAGCCTCACCGATCGGCCGCGAAACGCTCCTCCTCAAACAGGGTGGGCTCGGGCCCGGGGAAGGTGCGTCGGAACACAGCCCCGGTTCACCCACCGAAGCAGCTCCGGGACCCGGGCGGCAAGCGTGAAGCGGCTGCCGGAGGCCTCCGGAAAGCAAGCAGTGGCAGGCAGGCCGGGGAAGAACTCTTCAACGGCGCGTACCGGAGCGGACACAGAGAGCTCCAGAAGCCCCTTGGTTCTGGTTCTGAAGCAGGAGGGAGGTCTTCTGACGCTGGGCAGGGGGCTTCCAGATGGCCGCCCTCCATCTCTTGCTCCCCAGCCCCAAGCAATCCTGGGGTGGCAGGCACCTAGAATTCTGAGGGGGAGTGACTCACTCTCCCCCTGGGGGAGCTGGGATCCTGAGACAGAAGCCCTACTGCTCGTCTTCCCCTCTGTCCACACGGCCGCATCCAGTGTGCAGTGTCATGCACTAACGAAAGCCCCAGATGTTCAGCTGCAGCAACCGAAAAGTGGGGTTCAAGACATCGGAAAGTACCAGGGACACCATGGACAGGGAGGAGCTCAGAAAAGCAACCCTATCAAGTCTGTGAGAACCTGCCTTACCTCCGAGCCGCGTGTGGTAGACCTGAATGTCAACAGCACCGAAGCTTTGAGAACTGAACCGCAGGCCAGACCACTGGCCAAGACCCACCCTGGCCAGTGGGGGGAATGTGCACAGGACAGGTTTGAACAGTATAGCAAAAGCTTTAAACGGGGACCCCCGGCCCACAGAAGGGTGGCTGGAACTTGAGACCTGAACCCCAGTGGGTCAATGCCTTCTAGGACAAAAATATCAGCATTCTCCTTAGAATCTTAAACAAGGACAGAATCATAAACACACTAAAGAATCAGTCAAAAAATCACTCTGCATACAAAGAATCAGGAAAACCTCAGTTCATGGCTGCCAATGCCATGATGACACAGATGCTGGGATTACCTTAAAGACTATTGTGAAAATGTTCCTACGAGCAAGAGCAAACGTTCTTGAAATGAATGCCAACCCAGAATAGTCCTGGCAAAAGAACAGATGATAAAAATAATAACAAAGTGCAAATTTCAAAACAGAAAAATACAGTAGCTAGAACTTAAAAAAATCTACTGGATGGACTCAGTAACAAGATGACAAAGAATGACTGAATTTGAAGGAGATCAACAGAAATGATTCAGTCTGAACAATGATGAAAACAGACACGGGAGAAAAAGCCAACGGGCCACAGACACACAAAAGTCTGATCCCGGAGCACCAGAGGAGGGGACCCGGAGTGCGGCGAAAGAAAGCATTTGGGGACATAATGGCTGAAAACTTCTTGAATTTGGTGAAAGACATAAAACGACAGATTCAAGATGCTCAGCAAATTTGAAACGGGGTAAATGCAAAGAAATCCACACTCACGATCAAACTGCTAAGAGGAAAAGTAAACTTTGCAAAGAAAAAAGTCCTGACAGCAAACAGACATAATAATACTGAGACAAGAGAGCTGTCAACTCTGAAGTGCGGATTCAGAGAAAATATCTTTAAGGAGTGAGGGAAACTAAGGTAATTTGTTGTCAGTAGATTTGATTAAAAAAAAAAAAAAAAAAAAGCCAAACTTCTTCAAACAGAAGGGAAATGATACCAGAAGGATCCTGGAACATCAAAAATGAAAAGAGAGGAACAGTAGAGCCCGCATGGATAAACAGAACCCAATTTGTCACCTCCTGAGTTGTTTGTTTTTTTTTTTAATTTTTTTTACATTTATTTATTTTTGAGACAGAGAGAGACAGAGCATGAACAGGGGAGGGGCAGAGAGAGAGAGGGAGACACAGAATCCGAAGCAGGCTGCAGGGTCTGAGCTGTCAGCACAGAGCCCGACACGGGGCTCGAACTCACGGACCGTGAGATCATGACCTGAGCCGAAGTCGGACGCTTAACCGACCGAGCCACCCAGGCGCCCCTCCTGAGTTTCTTAAAACGTGTTTGATTGCTGGAAACACTGATCACGCAGAGCACCGTCTGACGGGGCTTTCAGAGTAAGCGCGTGGAATAATATACCAGACAGCAGTAGTAAGTTTTCTGCTTTCCACTGGAAACGGTACAGTACTGATTCTAAGTAGATCGTGACAAGTATGTATATTTTAATCCCCCAAACCATGACAAAACCTAAGATACGTAGTAAAAAAAAAAAAAATGCAATGATAAATTAAAAGGTAATATTAAAAAAGGCCTAAATTACCACAAAGATGGGAAGAACGACCAAGTAAAAACAAACAGAAACAAAGAAAATGGTATGCCAAAATCCAAACAAGACTAATTCTATTAAATGTAAGTGGCCTAAAACCATCAATTAGAAGACAGGATTTTTCAGAAGAGATTTAAAAACTGATTTGCTACTCACAAGAAACTAAAGTCAAACATAATGATACACGTAGACTGAAAGGAGAAGGTTGAAGAAAGAGATCTCATGCAAATGCCGATCAAAAGAAAGCTGGAGCGGTTACATGAATTATCAGACAAGGGAATAAAAAAGGACATTCTGTCACGGTAAAAGGTCATGTCAACAACAAGATCTAATGGTCTTAAACGTGCATGCGGCTAACAACAGAGCCGCAAAACAGAGGAAGCACAGACTAACAAACCGAGAGAGACAAATCCAGAATTGCAGTCGGAGACTTCAACACCTCTCTCTCTTCTATCCGGCCACGGACGGAACTACCAGCACGCAGAAAAATCAGTACCTCAGCACCAGTGCAGAAGAACTGAACACCGCCCACCATCCAGATCCAACGGACATTCAGGCACGTTCTTTCAAGTACACGTGGAACGTTCACCAAGACAGACCGTAGCCCGGCTCCGAAACAAACCTTTTTAAGTTTAAAGGAACTGAAACCATATCAGACACGCTCTCTGACCATAACAGAATCAGACTAGAAATCAGTGACAGATACAAGAAAACCTTCCACCCTCCATTTTAAAAGCGGCTGAAGTCTGAGCTCGTGGAGCAGGGCCCAGCAGGCACGGGAGGCCTGGAGGGCCACGGATTCTGCCGCTGCCGCTCCCTGGTCCCGATCCACAGGGACCGCCGGTGGCCGGCAACTCCGGGGCTACCTGGGAGCCACAGACTGTTCCGGCTTGCACCTGCGTGCTGACCACCACTGCCAACTGCTGGGTTACGGAAATGCGGTGTGTAAAGCGCAGCCAACTTCAGCAGGCCTCTGCCGGCAGACCCAGAAAGGGCATCCGGGTCTCCTTCCCTTAACTCGACAGGACTTCCCTGTCCCACCTACACCTCTGCGTATTCTTGGGAACCGTAACCAACCCCCAATTCCCATCTTTGGGGAATCCTAACACACTCTGCGGCCTCAAAGCGGCCATCGGGAAAACAAAGCGCACCCGATTTCCTAACACGTTCTGGAATTCCCCGAGACGACAACGTGTGGAGGTTAACAGATACCTGGTCAAACAGATAGACTGTGACATCATCAAAAAACGTCACCGCCTTCTTTTCTTTCTTCCAGTCGTCCGGCAGCTGGTCGATGGCGACAGAGGCCGCAGGTTTCAACAGGCTGCGCAGATGCCTCCCGTCCTCGTTGCTGAGGACCACAGGCACCGGGTGCTCGGTCTCGTCCTCCGACTCGGAGCTCAGGCTGTGCAGGTGAAACGCCCGCAGGTCTTCGTCCGAGTCGTCGCTGTTTTCATCCTCCTCGTCGGCATCCATGCCGTCCTCGGAGAGGTCCAACATGCCCGACACTCCAAGTTTCCCCAGGTACTTCCCTTCGACGTCCGGCTCCTTCAGCTTGGGGCCCTCGGAGTGGCCGCACGACGACTTCTCCGCCGTCACGTCCGCCGCGCTGCTGGGGCGCAGGGTGGAACTCGCAAAGGCAAGGAGCTCGTTGGTGTTGGTTCCGGTGGAAGCGAGCGTGCAGGCGCGCTCCTCTGGTGCCTCGAAGTCATCGCTGCTGCTCAGCTCGGAGTTCCCCAAACTCAAGGGACTGCCGGCCTCGTCTTCGGGAGGCGGCGTCTGTTTGGAAACGTCAGGTGGTGCCGGTTCCGAAGTGTCTCTGGACGCCGGGTGACCGGAACTGTGCGAAGCGGGGAGACAGCTTTGGTCTGGCTGGCCGTGGCTGGTTTCCAGGCAACTGTCCTTGGCGCCAGGACTCTGCTCCGGCACGACCGGCTCAGGCAGCGGCTGGTCCGTTACCACCACCGAGGCCGAGGCCGAGGGTCCCGGGACGCCCTCGGACTTCTTGTCAGGCTCAGAGTCATTATCTGAGAAGTAGGCGGAGTCTCGGTACGAGCTCTGAGAGCCAGGCGTGAAAGTCTGCGAGGCCACTTCCGTACCCCTGTGGCCGTCGGCTGCGTCTGAGATGACGATGACCGGGTTGGGGGGCAGGGTGCCACGGCTGCCATCGCCCGCCGTGGCCGCCTCCGCGGCCGAGGCGCCGTCGGGGGCAGGGTGCAGGGTCCATTCAGGGGACTCCAGGTTCTCCGTCTCGTAGCCACTGTCTGCAGGCTTATCGGGGGGCACGAGTTTCTGAGGAGTGTGAGAGCCTAAGGATCCCAATAAAACGTCACGGACATCCACCGAATCCAGAGAGTCCGGGGTCTCCACGGACTGTTCCGAAGTCGGAATGGGTGTTGACAAGCTGTCTTCTAGGAGGCTGTCTTGACTGGTCGAGTCTGAGGACAGGGCGGACACCAGGCCCCCCTCCTTGGCAGCCGCTTTACAATGCAGCTCACTCAGAGCGTCCGCACCTTCCGAGCTTTTCTCCAGCGCACGGTCAGCGTGTCGGTCTTCTGAGAGCGGCTGATTTGGGAAGTTCTGTCTCAATTCTGGAACACTGCTTCCTATACTCACCTCATTGGCAAAAATGTCATCAGTAAGAACCGGGTCACTTTTGGTCAGTGTCAAGGCCTCTTCGCTTTGGCGGGTCAGGTCCCGGGACCGGTCACCAACACCGTGTGCTCTGGCAGCCGCTGCGGGAGTTTCTACCGTGATGGTCACAGGGTCCGGATTCGTTTCTTGGCAGAGACCGTCTTCGTGGCTACGGACATCCGAGCATGTGGGTTCTCCCTGCTTCGGGGACGTATCTGGAAGTAAGCGGGGAGATGTTCCTTCTGTCTCCAGCGAGGTAGGAGGTACCCGCGCTTCTGGGGAAGACTGTAACGAGGTGTTCAAAGTGCTGTCCTTGAACACGACACCTGCATCCTGACCCTTGGCGCTGAGGCTTTCCTGCAGCAAAGGAAAGCCTGGTTTGTTCTCGGCAAACTTCACTTCAGTACCTAAAGAGTTCCTATGTGGAGTTTCTAATATCGTTTCGGTGAAGCCAGCGCTTTTAAGTTCTGTTTCAAGATCATTTAGATGTTCTTTGTCAGACAGTGAGTCTTTTAGTAGGTTTTTCTCTTGAAGAAACAAAAAGTTTGCTGACAGCTCTTGAACGTTCAGTGGATCAAAATTATCTCGGTGCATGAGGGTTTCTGATAAGCAAAGAGGCTCGCCGTCAAAAAGCTTACGGGGCTTATCTTTCTCAGAGTGGCACGTTACAACGGACTCTCTGGAGTCGTCCGGACTTGAACCGAAAGCGGTCGGCTTCAAGTCGGTTTGAACTCCATTTAGTTCCATCAAGTCAAATATCTTTTGGTGACTGGGCAGATCCTCTGATTTGTCAAGATCACTAAATATACTGTTGAAAGGGCTTTCAGGGCCCCTGGGGACCTGCACGTCCTCGGGTACGCTGGAATCTTTGGGGTCTGCACCGCTTTGGAAGAAATCCTCATCTGTACTGGACTCCTCTAATTCAAGGTTCCGGAGTGTCAGGAGTTGGGGCGCCTCCTCGTGTATCCTTTCCGGGTTATCCATTTCAGTTGTGAGCAGTGCGGGTGGGTAATCAAGCTCCAAGTTGCTGCCGCCTTTTTCTTCCAACTGGATGTAATAGTCGCTTCCAACAGAAAGGTTGTGGGCATCAAACACAGGGACCACTCCGGGGGCCCCACGGGGCACATCCTGGCCACTGTCATCTTGTTTCCCCGGCCCGGGGTCTGAAAGTGAACTCTCAAAAACTTCAACTGGAAAGAAGATGCTCGTGTAGGACAAGGCTTCGTCCGGGGGGCCCCGACCGCGCTCGTCAAAGTGGTCGTGCTTGGCTGCCTCCCAGACATACTCAAAGCTCAGGCCCTGGCTGGTCTCGGTCACGGTGAGGACTTCCTCCACCTCACGACCCAGCCGGTCCCTGGCGAAGTGGTCGAGGATTGGGAATGCCGCATTACTTGAGGTGTCTCTGCTGTTTGTATTCGGTTTAAGGGCATTCCACTGCTGCTCAAAGTCGACTTCTGAGTCCCTTTGGCTTTGCATCCGCAGGTAGGTGAGCAACCTGTGCACGTCCTCAGCCGCTGGTCTCTTGTCCGGGGACAGCCAGCAGAACTGCAAAACTTCATACCTGGGCAACGATTCAGAGGTGATTAATGGAATGATGGTAAAACTGCTTTAAATTAAAACAAGAAAGGACTTCACGAGGACTCCCAAGCCAACTCGCACCTCAAAAGTTTCTATGCTATAATCACTGTCAGCCACATGAAGGATCTCGGTTCACGGTGAAACACATTGTGGCACAAGAGGAAATGAAGAAACATAAGCGTTGGGCCTACTAATTTTGTGTGTTCCCGGGACACGTCCCAGTATCAGTGTTTGTCATTTTCCTTCTGGTGTCTACCCAGTGACTTATCCCCTGAATTTAGAAACAGTTTTAACATGATCTCCTCTTTAAAAAATCGCCACAGGTGGTCTACGTAGTAAAGAATGCACTTGTCTTACGTTGTTTAGGTTGACTCGTTTTATTCTGTAAGAATTCTCAGAGACAAATGCGGTAGTGACTAATCTCTAACTCCTCCCCCCACTGAAAAGTAACACTACAATCTTACGTAGCACATGGTCTCCTTAGATCATAAAAGGGGCTGAAAGCGGAGGGAAACAGTAGAAAATGAAGTCCAAAGAAGAGAGCAAGGGGGAGCTGGGTCTTCGAAGGGTTGGCTGAATAGAGCCAACCTCCCACGACATAGCCACGAACAAAAGGGAAGACAAAGGCAACTTCAAAGTGTTAACTGTAGGCAGTATGTGTCAAGTTATTCCAGGGGAGACAGTTCAGAGCGGTGTGGGAGCTGAGCACTGCCTCAGGGCATGGGGTTGCCTCGCTTCACGGGCAGTGCCTACTGGGCAGGCAGTGGTGTAGACAGAGGCTTAGAAAGAGGTGAACGTGATCCTGAATGGAAACGGAGTAAGAACTGGTCTGAAGACTCGTAAGAAGTAAATTTGTTTTGCAAATGTCAATATGCACTATGCAAATTAGCTTCTGCCGCCAATTTAAATATTACCCTTCCTATGCTCTTTTCTCACATATTAGGTATCACTTACAAAAATAGCCTAATTTTTTTTTTTTTAAGTATATTTATTTTTGAGAGGGACAGAGCATGAACGGGGGAGAGGCAGAGAGAGAGGGAGACACAGAATCCAAACCAGGCTCCAGGCTCTGAGCTGGCAGCACAGAGCCTGACGTGGGGCTCAAACTCACGTGTGAGATCATGACCTGAGCTGAAGTTGGACGCTCAACCAACTGACTGAGCCACCCAGGCGCCCACAAATAGCTTCATTTTAAAACAATTCCACAATAGGAAACTCCCTAATGTTGACTTTTCTAATTGGTTCAGACTTCACATTTTTTCTTATTGCACAGAATACATAAACTCCTGCCTGTTGTACACTTTTTCCAAAACTAACATTACATTTTTAAAATATATGTTAATTCTAAAATCAGTTGTGGGGCGCCTGGGTGGCTCAGTCGGTTGAGCGTCCGACTTTGGCTCAGGTCATGATCTCACAGCTCGTGAGTTCAAGCCCCACGTCGGGCTCTGTGCTGACAGCTCGGAGCCTGGAGCCTGCTTCGGATTCCGTGCCTCCCTCTCTCTCTGCCCCTAACCCACTCACATTCTGTCTCTGTCTCTCTCAAAAATAAATAAATCATTAAAAAAAAAAAATTAAAATCAGTTGTGAATGATACACAAATCTTGGCTTTTCACAACATTTATGGTTTAAAAAAACAGGGAATAGGGGCGCCTGGGTGGCGCAGTCGGTTAAGCGTCCGACTTCAGCCAGGTCACGATCTTGCGGTCCGTGAGTTCGAGCCCCGCATCAGGCTCTGGGCTGATGGCTCGGAGCCTGGAGCCTGTTTCCGATTCTGTGTCTCCCTCTCTCTCTGCCCCTCCCCCGTTCATGCTGTCTCTCTCTGTCCCAAAAATAAATAAAAAACGTTGGAAAAAAAAAAAAAAAAAAAAAAAAAACAGGGAATAAATATACTGGGGTGCCTGGGTGGGTCGGTAGGTTGAGAGTCCGACTCTTTCTTTTGGCTCAGGTCACGATCCCAAGGTCATGGGATCCGGCCCTGTGTCAGGCTCCTCGATGAGAGCCTGCTTAAGATTCATATTCTCTGTCCCTCCCCTCCCCTGTGCCCCTTCCTCCACTGGTGCTCCCCACCCCCTCTAAGATAATCAATCAATCAATCAAAATGGGGAGTATACAACTAACAGCCACAGACAGAGGGTTTCCTTATCTTCTGAAGACAACAAAAAAGTAAAGTAGAGTTACCCACCATCTGTCAGAATAAGGCTGCTCCAGCTGGGGCTTAGGGAGTTTTGTGTCTCTCTCTCGAATGACCTGGTTGAGAACATCTAAGTTGGAGAGGTTGGAATAAGGCTGAGCAGCATTATCAAAGAGCTCCCAAAGTGTCACACCTAGGGACCTGTGGAAAAAAGGAAACAGTCATTTCCTCCTCCCTTTAGATGTCGAATTTTTAACACCCACATTTTTATTAGTGACTTTAAGAATAAAGTGTGTACTGAAAAGGTTATTAAAGATAGCTCTTTAACGTGATTTTTAAAAAAAGGCACCTTCAATATAATGAGGTCAAGTATGCCTCCTCACATTTGCTACAGAGTACTCTAGAAGCTTTGGCCGACGCAGAAAGGAAAACTTAAACAAGGAACGGGCATAATTATAGATAACAGCTAGTGTAACTGTCCACTTTGAAACTCAAGAAATTTTTTGGCACATCTTTAGAACGATGTAAGAGTTCAGTAGAACGGTGAGATACAAGAGGAACATCCTGAGGCAGACAAAGAAACCCCGCTCGCGACAGCTGTAAACAGTTGGGTTTGGCTGCTGTTTCGGAGGGGCTTCTTCCCGACATCCTGCCAGCTACCCGTGGGCCAGAAGAGGCCACCTGCCGGAGCCTCTCCATGCCCCCAGGCCCACGGCTGTTACCCCAGGCAGAAGGGAATGCCCCCTCCTGGGACCCATCCCCCTCCCTCACACCAAGTCCTCTGTCGCCACGGACACAGCCTCTGCGGCTCAGTCAGAGGGACACTTGCTCTCCACCTCCTCTAAGCAGTCTCTGCGTCTCCACCTGGGTCGCAGGTGGCATCTCCTGGCCACTGCAATGGCTCCCAAGCCTGGCTGACTATCTGTGTCATCTGGGAACCCCCCACCCCAAGGACTCTCACGTGATAATGTAGGTGTGGCCTAGGAAACTGCATTTAAAGGGGCGCCTGGGTGGCTCGGTCGGTTAAGCAGTTAAGCGTCTGACTTCGGCTCAGGTCACGATCTCGTGGTTCGTCAGTTCGAGCCCCACATCGGGCTCGGCGCTGACAGTGCAGAGCCTGCTTGGGATCCTCTCTCTTTCTCTCTCTCTCCCTCTCTCTCTGTCCTTTCCCCCACTCACGATTTCTCTTTCTCTCAAAATAAAAAAATAAACTTAAAAAAAAAAAAAAAGTTCCCTAGTGATTCTGACATCCATCCAGGTTTGGGTGTGGATGGTTTACATGACCTGGGATCGAGGCCTCCAGGTGTTTGTTTGAATAATAAACCGCATTAAATAAATACGTTTATTATCTGATACTGTACAGTACAACGTAACTTATGAGTTAATTTACGTTAACTTCACAAATCAGTGAAAGAAAGCACATTCAGAATCTAAGTTGAGAGATCACTTCTGTCAGAGGAAACAAAATAGACCCAAATCTCCCAACTCAATTCAAGAAGGAAAACACAGCTTCTCGCCGGCACAGACCTGCCAGAGGCAGAGGGTCGTTCTGGATACAAAACAAGTTTAAGACGCTATCGATGACTTTAGGGAGTCTACAATTTAAGTGAGGAAAATAAGAAATTCGCTGCCCCAGCCGGTGTGAGCTTGGGCACGTGACCCTACCCGTCGCAACTCTCCAAATGCCTGCTCTAAAGCTCCCTCTCTCGAGAAGGCCCGTTCCCAAACCAAAGCCCTCGCCGGCCCCTGGCTGACCCTGTTGTCCAGGAAGCATGAAGCATGGGCTTTCTCGACTCCCCACCCCCCACCCCTAACATCTCCGGTCTCCCTTTCTCATCTCCTCACACAGGCCACAGAGAAGAGCCGTGTCCCCTCATCAAGGTCCGTCCCTGCGCCGGGGCTCTCTGTGCTACGCTGTGCAGTCTCCTGCAGGACAGCCGCCGTCAGTCACGGCCCCTCACCCCTAGCTGCGGAATTCTTTACCTTGAACTGGCCCTTGCCTCCTCGAGTACCACTGGCCTCCTCCTTCTGGGCAGAAAAATGTCCTGGGGGTCTTACCCACTCTTCCAGCAAAACTCTGAGAGAGGTCCCTCCCGTCCCCCCTGGCACAGGGCAGCGCGGCCCCTGCCGCAGGCTGACGTCGGCAATGCTGCCCGCCCTACCGCTAGACTTGTCACGGTGTCAGAAACCAGGGGTGGGCTCTGTGTCCAGGAGCACAGGCTAAGCTCTCAGGTTAAACACCCTGCTAGGAATAGTAAAAATTTGGACAAAACATTAAAATTATCTTTTTAAAGGCATCACAGATGAGAGAAGACAGCATGGAATTACCAGGAAAAACCCTAGAACTTGAAGAGCTAAGGAGAATACTAAAACCACCTCTGAGGGGCCGCTGGGTGGATCAGTCCGTTGAGTGCCTGACCCTTGATTCTGGCTCAGGTCATGATCTCATGGTTTGTAGGATTGAGCCCCACACGCCAGGCTCCAAGCTGTCAGCACTTGGTATTCTCTCCCCCTCTCGCTGTCCCTCCCCCCACCAAAATAAATAAATAAACTTGGAAAAAAAAATAGAGGGGCACTTGGGTGGCTCAGTCTGTTAAGTGTCTGACTTCGGCTCAGGTCATGATCTCATGGTTCGTGAGTTTGGGCCCTGCATTGGACTCGGTGCTGACAGCTCAGAGCCTGGAGCCTGCTTCGGATTCTGTGTCTCCCTCTCTCTCTGTTCCTCCCTTGCTCGTGCTCTGTCTCTGTCTCTCTCAAAAATAAACAAACATTTCAAAAACAATAGAACCACCTTTGAGCTGGTGCATTTGCTGAATCACAGAACTTGGGCTTTTGGGGTCTTGGTTTACAAAGCTCAATGGGGGATGGTGGGGGTGGTGAACAGGCCAAAGCCCTGGGCCTGTCCAAAGTAAGGGGAATCACAGAGAGACCTCCTCACCATAAAAATACGCTTGGGGCGCCTGGGTGGCTCAGTTGGTTAAGCGGCCGACTTCGGCTCAGGTCATGATCTCGCGGTCCGTGAGTTCGAGCCCCGCATCAGGCTCTGTGCTGACAGCTCAGAGCCTGGAGCCTGTTTCAGATTCTGTGTCTCCCTCTCTCTGACCCTCCCCCATTCATGCTCTGTCTCTCTCTGTCTCAAAAATAAATAAACGTTAAAAAAAAATTAAAAAAAAAAATAAATATATAAAATAAGCCTGCCCCCACCCCCTCCAGGAGCCTGAAAGGCAAGATGACTTGGCACTGAGGGGCTCTAAGTGTTTGCGTGTGTGTGTGTGTGTGTGTGTGAGAGAGAGAGAGAGAGAGAGAGAGAGAGACTGTGTGTGTGTGTGTGTGTGTGTGTGTGTGTGTGTGTGTGTGTAAGGGGGGGGTTGGCCCCTAACAAGCTGTAACCACAGAGCTGCCCCTTGATTGGATCTGCAGCCCAAATTCACATCACCTGAGTGGTCAAAAAAACCCTCAAGCTGAATATGTAAGGCACAGTCCCCTTACACGGCAGGACAACCCCGGTATCCGACACACATAAGTAAGTGTAGATCCTCTTGGGAGGAATGCTCCTCGATTCTCGGTTTCCGAGATCCTCACCCCAAGGAAACGAGGCAGCATCAAGAACCAGCAAGATCAAATCCACAAAGACTTCAGATACTGGAATCACCTGACACAGATCACAACCCAACTGTTAAGAACACTGGGACAGGTTTTAAAAAATCCAGTCGACTTCCTCCAACTGAAAAGTCAATAGCTGAACCATAGAACTTAGTAGACAGATTTAACAGAAGAACAGACACACTTGAAGAGAGAGTTTTAAAGAGAGACAGAATTAGTGGCTGGAGCACAGGTCTCGAAAATTATCTAGAGTGTGGCACAGAGAGTCAGAGAGACAGAGTGTAAAAAGGAAGAGATTAAGAGACAGAAGGCCGAGCAGGAAGGCAAAAAACACACGTCTAATTAGACTTCCCAAAGGACAGAAATGGAGCAGAGGCAGTACTTGAAGGGTAAGGGCTGAGAACACCATCAAACTACAGATTTGAAAAAGCCAAATAAATCCCAAGCAGAAAAACATAAGAAATCCACACCCATACACATCAGAGTGAAACTACAAAAACAGAAGACAGAGAGAAGAGTTTAACAGCAGCCAGACAGCAGAAGTCACATTACCTTCAAAGGGCTTAGGGAGACTTACAGCTGACTTCTCAATAGCAACAATGGAAGCCAGAAGACAGTAGAATGATCTCTTCAATATGCTGAGAGAAAGTAACTGTCATCAAGTAAAAATATATTTCAAAAACGAGGACAAAATAAAGGTATGTTCAGACGCACAAAAACCCGAGGGTCTGTTACCAGCAAGCAGGCCCTCACTACGGGAAATTCTGAAGGACGTACTTCAGACAAAGGGCGAATGATCCCAGATGGAATGTCTGAGATTTAAAAGAAAAAAAGAAAAGAAAAGAGAACTTAGAGCAAAGGGATTTGATTACGTGGATCAACCTAAACAAAAAACCGCTAAAAAACAAAACAAAACAAAAAAAAACCCCAAAATCCAAAAACCAAAAAACCAAAAAAATAAGAAGAAGAACAATGCCTTGTGAGGGTAAAAGAAAAAAAAAAAACCCCACCAATTCCGTATTTGTTGGCCCCGGGCCCCCCCCGCGTGGGGGGGGGGGAGGTGTATAGTCAAACCAAGTTAAAGTCTGTTAAAGTATCCTGAGGGCCTTGCAATGTTCAGAGAGAGGGCCAAGACATGAACTGATATATTAGACTACAGTTAAGTGGAATACACGTTATAACTTCTAGGGTAACTTTTAATAAAAGTACAGGACTAGAGTATACAGCTCCCAAACTAACAGGAAAAAGAAGTTAAAAAAAAAACCAATCCAGATGAAGGCAGGAAGAGGAAAAGAAAATAGAAAAGGCAGGATAATAGTACAAAAAAATGTGTACACAAATTAAGAAAGCTGTAACAGAAATTGTTAGTCAAGGACGTAAACGCATTTCTTTTTCAACTTCCATTAAACTGATCTCCTACAAATCACAGTATTACATAATGGTCCAAACTTCTGTTTTTTCGTTCACTGCAGTCAATATTTAAAACGTCTATCATACTGTAGGCCCTACAGTCGACACAGAAAACAGACCCGGTTCCTACATTTATGGACCTTATTACTGTTGAACGGGTAAGAGAAAAGTTAATGATATCACAGTTGTGATAATTGCTAGGATGTCAATAAACTGTCTTTTTCACACCATCGGGCACTCCTACGTTCCTACATCTTATTCAACTATTTCTCCTTAAGCACTCAAGGAGAAAGAAGTTAAGTCTTGGCTACGCAAAAGTCGAACAGAATGGCAAATCAGTACGTACCAGATATTACTATATTTCGTTTGATCTGCAGTTAGTAGTCTGTCTTGAAAGCTGGTTACTAGTTCTGGAGCAGTCCATCGCAGAGGGAAAATTTTTTTATCATCTGCTTCAATATAATCCTCCTGTTTTATTAGAAAACATACAGAATTTTTAATTCTATTATGTTTTTTAGCGAAGTCAATGATTTAATACCAGGTCATTCTCAGAAAACAAATACTCAACCCAAAAGACACATCAGACAAAGAAGTGGGCGTCAAGAGAGATTTTCTGGGCAGGAGGTGGGTGAGGTTTTTCTCTGAAGCCTCCTGGGCTCCATGAGCTGCTTTCTGAGCCATGAACGCTCGCCCAGCCATGAACCTTCCTTCCTGGAAAAGGAAGGTACGCCACGTCGGATGCACAGAACACAGACTCTGAGCAAAACATCTTTTAAAACATGCTGGGCCTTATGCCCCAAGTACGACAGCAGTGCCTACCTTACTGAATAAAAGCACAGACTTGAGAATGACACAGACTGGGTTGTAAGTCCAGGCTCAACCGTTCACCCGCTGGCTGACCCTGGGCAGCCAACAAATATGCTAATAAGCCTTTTTCTTTATCTGTTAAATGGGGATCATACAATTCCCACCTCCCTTTATGGTGAGGATTAAATGAGATAATGCCCGCAATTACTTCATGGTGCCTGGTAGACAGCAAGGGCTCAAGACACTAGAGGTACTGTGTAGACAAATAACCAACTTATATTTGCATAATGTACTTCAGTTACAAAATACTATGAAAATATGACCCCGGGGTCCTCACAAGAACCCCGTAAGACAGAACAGACACGACCCTCATGTCACTGCTGCTGGCGTGGAGCCAGGACAGTCACATTCTTTGCCCCACGTCACACTACCTCATGCAGTTGGGCTACACAAAAACAAGTGAAAATCTCAACTACCTCTTATCTTCTTTGGGGATACAGTTATGGCAGAGTTTAAAAATCTAAACCTCTAAGCTTACTCAATTTGGGCCAAAACTCTACTGGAGAAATATTGATATGACATGCACGGTATTATTTTTTGATACAGGTGGTCATGAATTATTGCCCATTGGTTCATGCTAAAATTTATTATGCACCATCAAATTACATCAATTACACAGTGTAAAAGTCTTTTTACCCAAAGTCTTTGGAAAGCGGTCACAAAACCTCAGCACAGAGCCACTCATCTCGACAAACTGCTCGTCAGAAGCCAACACTACTGTTAAAATGAACAAACCGCTCTCCAGAAAGGCAAAGTAGCCAAGATCTTACCCTCCTTTGACGAACAGGGTGGCATTTGTGATATGACCACCTCGGGACTATGAAATCAAATCAGCTTCAGGAGAGAATCTTTAAACCTTGGCTTACCTTGTACCTGCTGAGTCCTATCCCATAATCTCCCACTTTCACATTTAGATCCGAGGTAAGGAAACAATTCCGCAGGGCTAAATCACTGAAAACAGAAAGAGGGATGTGAGCATGAGGACAACGGGAACCCGCAAACAGCACAATGTGACCTCAGATTTGCTACAAAGCAGAGTGGTGTGCTGGGCTCCCTGGCTCCATAACGTTTTAGATTCTTTTTTAACGGGAAAGGGATTATATGTCACGTTCTTTGTTACTTAAGTCCCTGGTGACGATCAGATGGTTTTACAAACAACTGCTAAGGTTAAACGCTGACCACGTCTTTACCTTGTGCTGTGTCAATACCAGATCAATGGCTCATTTCCCAATGTTTTAAGAGTGACCAAGAATTCTAAAATACTAAATTGTCTGAATAGTTTTTTACAGTAACTTGCATTACTTGAGTAACAGTCTAGTGGTAGTCTGTTTATCAGGAGTATAGATGAATAAAGTTACAGCCTCAAGCACCTAAAGTTAATCTACATTATTAAAAATGTTTGCTTTTTAACTTTTTTTCTCAAAGACATGTGAGCATTCTAAGGAGGCCCTTTCCAAATTACTTCTTGCAAACCTCACCTCTCCACAGGTAGGTAAAGAACACATTTTCAGGACTTGCTTAAAACAGTTCGTTTGTATCGTTTATTTAAGAACATGTTAATTCTCAAAAACATACCCAGTGAAAAGTAAAAACTGCTTTTTCGGAAGGAACTTTCCATACAGACAACAGAGTCAACACTTCGGATTTTGGTATAAGCCCTTTATCATCTTTTAATCTTTTTTATCTTTTTAATCATCATTCGGCATAGGAATTAAAAAGTCCACTAAGTCAAGACAGAAAAGCATACTGAATTTAGTTTCAAATCATAAAGTTATCAAAAACTGGCTTTCTGTGGTCCAAAACTCCACATGTCTGTCTTCCTCTGATCGTAGAAGACAATCCTATAGTGATTCCATTCTTATCTTCAAAGATTTTACTCTTCAAAGCTTCCACGTGGGGAACAGGACGCTAATGAGGCTGGTGACGGCAGCACTGATTCAGGCACACATCAGTGGCTGTTATTTGCAAAGCACTCACTCTACACGGGCACTTCTCTGAGCTCTAGCCACGTATTAACACATATACTCTTCACAACGAACCTTTGAGGCAGATGCTATCATGCTCCTTATTTACAGGTGAGGAAGCAGGCCTAGGAGCAAAGGAACTCCACTAGGGTGGCAGAGCCAGCGAGAGGCCGTCCCCACCAGTAACTGCCAGCGACAACACGTCAGGCCAGCAAGCAGAGGGCTGTTTCATGCGTACGGCTGGTCCTCGATGAACAGGTGCGGACTGAGACCTCCAACGGGTTATGTTCAACTCTTCTCTACGCTATGTTTGCTAGTGGTAATTTTCAGTGTCCATTCAGAAGCTTTCGGGCCTGTGGTGTCTGGGAGCAACAGAGAAACTCCCAATCTTTTTTTTTTTTTTTTTTTTTTTTAGTATTTATTTATTTTGAAGGTGAGAGAGCGCGTGCACATACGTGGGTGAGGGGCAGAGAGAGAGAGGAGATAGAGAATCCCAAGTGGGCTCTGTGTTGTCAGCACAGAGTCTGACGCAGGGCTCGATCCCATGAACTGTGAGATCATGACCTGAGCCAAAATCAAAAGGTGGACATTTAACCGACTGGGCTAACCAGGTGCTCCAAGAAACTTCCCATCTTGTTTTTCAATGTTCATTTGTTTTTGAGAGAGAGAGAGAGAGAGAGAGAGAGAGAGAGGCACAGAGAGAGGGAGACTGAGGGTCTGAAGTGGGCTATGAGCTGACAGCAGAGAACCTGACACGGGGCTTGAACTCACAAAGATCGAGAGATCACGACCTGAGCTGAAGCTGGGCATCCAACCGACTGAGCCACCCAGGTGCCCCAAAACTTCCAATCTTAAGAAAATTAGTCTCCTTGTTGGGAACGAAGGAGGCAGGAGGGAGGAAGAATCAATACACCATTTGAGAGCAGGGAAGCGGACACACTTCCAGGCAGGTAGCACCGTGCGCGGGACCGGCAGCCGCAACAGGACAGGGCCGCGGGTTCCGCCAGCAGAGGTTCGGTGTCGAGCACCCCTGACAGGCATTTCCGCAGTCTCCATTGACAGATCCTTCTTAACCTTCCCCACGTCCCCCTCCTCGGGCCGGAGTTAAAAGCCTCATTCCACCGGGGCCCCACGCGTGCCGCCTGACGCTGGCGGGGGCACCTGCAGAGGCCTCGGCGCTTTCCCCGCAGGCCGTCCATCCAGGCCGTCCGCCTGAGCGGCTCCTGGGCCACTCCGCTTCCCCGCTCCTCACGCCCGCTCAGTGCAGGTCCTGACACACATCGGACGCGAGGGCTACGGAAAAGACGAAAAGTTAAAGAAGCGAAAGGCCACGGCTCTCACTGTAAAAGGCATCCTAACACTCGAATACGACCCGGCCGGTGTTCTCAGGGAAACGCTCCTGGTCGCCTGGAAACCGAAGCGATGAGGCCAAAAACGGGGGTGCGGCTGGGGGGGCTTGCACACCTGCCCCCTGCCTCCACCCCACACAGACCCAGAGCCACACACGGCCCAGGGGGAAAAGCGGCAGACAAAGGCGACCCGGGGCAGGTCACTTAACACATCAGAGCCTCGGTTTCCGCAGGAACAAACAGGGACGCACACTCACAAGCTTTCACAGGGGTAAAATAAAGCTACATACGAAAGGTCTCTAATCTGACGCAAAATTGCTACAAACCTTCTCTGAAGCCCAACAGTACGCAAAGCAAAAGACCAGAAAAACACAAAGGCGTAACTTAACGGCACAGGTAATTCTTGACGTCAATGGCTGCTTTGGGTCGGGGAATACAAACATATGCAGCATATTCTCCTTCAAGTTGAAAAACAGGTCTGGTGGTGAGGGTGCCAGACGATCTCGCCCCGACAGGCTCCGTCTGGCTCGGTCCCCACGGCCGTCGCCTCCGCTGTGTGAGTGCAGCAGGCCGACACGGGAGGCGGGAACCGACAGATCTGAGGAGTTCCCCACCCGGGGTTCACCAGGAAGCATCGCTGCTTGCTCTCAGCTCACACCAGAGCTAGTGTTAACCCATCTCCAGAAGGACTGCTCGACTGGAAACAGCTCGGCGGGGCCAGAGCCATTTTCAAAATGGCTCTATTTATGTTACCTACACTCTCCTGAGACGGCCCAACTCCTGACAAAAAGAGTTAACAGACGGGAAGCAAAGTTACTGAAACTTTGCACTGAATATTCTTCTAGGGCGTGACGTACATTATCTTAAGTCATCTTGACAAAGCACTTCAGGAAAAAGATTATCCCTTCACAGAAGAGACACGGTTGGAAGGATTAAAGGTCGGCGCGTATCTTCTGACGAGCACGCTGAATTAACAACTTGAGCCCCAAACCCCTGCTTTGCTCGCAGCGCTCTGCCTCTGGCAGCCGTGAAAGTGTTAAAATAATCATTCCGTGGTTCTGAAGAAACTGCAGGATGTGGCTCAGAAAGGTGCGAGCACAAGACGAAAGCAAACGGGTTCTGAAACGGCACCCAGGACACGGTCTTGACCGCTTTTGCTCCTGTTTACTAGGTAAGTCCTTGCTAGCTGAACCACGCTGCATTTAGTGAGCGCCCGCTGCATGCCAGGCACCCGCCAGGCTCTGCGTGTACACAGAACACCTGCACCGTGAAACGCTGGGTGGGCCCTGAGGAAAAGGTTTGGCCAGGATGCCGTCCACCACCGACGGCCTGGGCTTTGAGGCCCGGGGATCATACCAAGCCTTCAGTTCTCCGCTCTCCCCAGGGCTGGGCCACAGCTGACACTGAGGTGGATGGTCAGGCTGCTAGGGGTCTCCACCCCTGGTTATGGCTCATCTCCTCACCGGAAACAATGACCAGACTGCACAAAATACATAAGGAAGCGGTTTTCAGGTCCCGCACAGCGGACAGCCCAGGGCTCCGACCCTGAAGAGAAACCAAATACCAGAGGTGAGCTCCACATGCGCTCCAGCTTTCCGTTGAGGGTCCTTCCCAAACCACGGCACAGATGCAGAGCCCAGAGAGCAACAGCCTCCTTGGACGGCGGAAGCAGAGGCTGCCGGGGAGGCTGAACTGTAGGGCAAGGTGTAAGGAGAGGAGGGGTAGGCGGAGAGAGCACGCGAGGGCCCCTCTGAGTCTTGTCTGCGGCCACCTCCTGAGCTGCGGTGCCCTGGAAGAGAACGAGGGGCTGACAGAGGACACTCCCCAGAGCCAGCAAGACGGTCAGCGTGCAGCGACTGCCCTCAACACCCTGGTGACGCCCCTCAAAGTCCTTAAGCAGGAGGGGACTCTGACATAAGGCAGTCCCCTGGGCCTGTCCTGAAGACATCCAAACCAGGGCGGGGCCAAGCTGCCAACGAACTGCCCTCCTGACACAACCGCGTCACACTCGGCGTGCGTCGGGATCACGAAGAAGGTGAGTGAAAACGCAGTAGGCCTGCGGTGGGGCCGGTACTCCCCATCACACAACTCCCAGAATCCAAGCCGGGGCTAAAAGGCCACATCAGATCAGGGTCAGAGAAGGTCGGCGTGTTTCAGGTGTGCACGTTTTAGCAAATGACAAACCAGCGGACTTAAGAACACAGCACTACACCACGGGTCCCAGAACACTGACTTTCCCAAAAGGCCCAGGACCATCTAGAAAAAAATGGAACATTCAATACATTACTTAGCACCGATGATTTTAAACTGACACCTGGGGTCCCAAGGCAAAGCGGCCCTTCCCTCGAAGACACCCACTTTCACCTTCCCTCTGCTTCTCACACACGCTCCTCCTGCGGTGCGCATCCCTTCCCTGGCGTGGCCGGCCCCCACCTTCAGCTCTGTCCTCCCTAATCCTCTCTGCACAGCATACCTGCATTTTGCATTAACTGGGTTATTGGAATACTAGGCTTTTTCTAAGGCTTCCTGAAGCACAGTTTTTTAATTTTCTTTTTTTAATTAAAAAAAATTTTGGGGGGGGGGGCGCTTGGGTGGCTTGGTCGGTTAAACGTCCAACTTCGGCTCAGGTCTGATCTCA